ATAGCTATTTTAATAAATAATAAAAGTTTTAAGTTACTTTTTATTAATTTAAGTATTAATAAATTATAAATAGGCAGTATTTTATAAATAATAAAAAAGTTAATATAATTATTATAATGCTATATTATTAGTATTATATAAGTAATTAAATATAAAAAAATAAATTTTTATTTACTTTTTAGTTTTTTTTTTTTTAACTTTTTTAATTTTTTTATCTTATTTTTTTAGTTCCCCCATTTTATTTTTTAAAGTTTAATATTTTATTTTTTTATTTTTTTATTAGTTATCTAATTTTATAACCCCTATAATAAGGTTTAAAATTTATTTTTCCCTCTTGCCAAAAACCACCACTACTACTATTAAAAATAAAAACGGGAACGGCAAGGGTTCCTTAAATAATTTAAAAAAAAGGCAAGTAAAAAAAGGGCGCTATAAATAGTAAAAAAAAAAAAGCTTAAAAAAAGTAAAAAAGCTAGTAAAACCCATAGGGTTTTATTATATATACCTATTTATTTACTTATATTATAGTGCTTAATATATTTTTAATTTATATTAAAAGCTAGTAATTTAAATAATAGTAATATATTATTTTAATTTAGTTATAAATTTAATATTATTATATTAATTTTATACAAGACCTATTTTTATTATAATAAGGTTTATAAATTAGTAAGTTTTTAATATTTTTTTTTAGTATTTTATAGCTAATTTACCATGTTTTTTAAGTTAAAATAATAATAAAAAAAATATATATAATTTATAGCTTTTAATTAAATACTATTATTTTTTTTATCCGCAAACTAATAACAAAGGGGTAAAGCTTTTTTTAAAAAATAAAAAGTATTAATAAGGCCAGGAATTTATATTTTAAACTTATTTTATAATAATTTAATTACTAAAGGCCTTTAAAAATATAAAAAAAGCTTATTAAAAAGAATTCTCCCTTTTAAGTAAGGTAAAAAAAAACTAGTAAAAATTAAATCTTTAATACTATATTAAAGTACTATTATATTATGCCTTACTCCCTATTATTTAGCTTATAAATTTTTTTATTACTAATATAAAAAATAATATTAAAGTTTTATAATTATACCTTTGCCTTTTCCCTAATAATTTAGGCCATGTTTAATAATTTATTACTAAATTTTAATTTTAAAAAAAGTTAAGCTTGCTTGTTAGGCTTATTTTATTAATACTTTAAATTTTAATACTAAACTTGCTTATATTAAAATAAAGTTTTTTATTATTATTAAGGGTATTTAGCCGGGTTTATTATATACTTAGTTTTAGTAATAGTATTTTTTTATTTTCTTACTTTTTTAAARTTAGTATTTTATTTTATTTTTAGTGCCTTTTTAGCGCCTTAGTTATTTATTTTTATTATTTTTTAGTTTAGTTATGCCAGGCAATAACTTAGTAATATTAAAACCTTATTTTTTTAATAATATTTTATTTTTTTTTATTACTTTAGCGCTTATTACTTCCTAGGTTTATAATTTCTTATGGTTACTTATAGTTTAAGGCTAAAATAATAATTTTTAGGTAGTATTTTATTAGGGTCTTTTTTATTTAAGTATATTAAGTATATTTTAGCTTAAAGTTAGGTTTTATTTTTACTTTTAACTAAATAATAAATAATTATTTTATTACACTTGCCTTTTTTTATACTTTTAAATAAAATTTAATATATTTATATTTTTAATAAAAACTTATTAATTATATTTTAAAGGCTATTTTTTTTATTTTACTAGGTATAAGTCTTTATTTTTAATAAAATTATAGCTAATAATATTATTAATTTTTTATTTTTTATTTTTTTTTAAATTAGGCATAACTTTTATATTAATTTTACCATGCCAAGGCTTAAGTAATAAAATATAAAAAATATTATATATTTAATAATACTTCTTAGGGAGTAAGAGTTAATATATTATAAAATTAATTTTATTTAATATTTAAAAGGGACTAATAAACTTAAGCTTAAGTTTTATTAGCACTTTTAAATTTAAATTTTTAGTACTAAGTTTAATAAATTATTTTAACTTAAACTTTATATTTTTTTAGCCTTTATTATAATAGGTTTAATAATATTTTATATTTTTTTTTTAGTTTTTTTTATATTTAACTTAAATTTTTTTAAGTTTTTTAATCCTGGCTAATATAGCTAGTACCTTTATTTATTTAGGGTTAATTTTAAACCATGCTATAATTTTTAAAATTTAGCTATATATAATTTAAAAGGGTAATATTTTAATAATAATATTCCTAGTATTATTATAAGTAAATTATACTATTTTAAATAATATAAGCTAGGCATGGTAATTTTTTATAATAAAATAGTATAAATACTATTTTAAAACTTAGTTAATTTACTTAGTTTATTTATTAGTTTAGGGGTAAAAAGCAGTTAATAAATATAACTTAGTTTTATAATAAAACTATAGCTTTTCCTAATATTTATTTATAAAAAAAAAGTTTTAGTTAAATATAATACCTT